GTCCCGAGGAGAGCAAACAGTGAGCTCACATTAACCCCTCCTCGCCCTCGCACTGCCTGTCGTCTTTCCCCAAAGCTTGGAGGAACTCGACCTTGTCCTGTAGTGGGAGCTGTGCCGAGTTCATAGGATCCTAAGATGTCTTGAGGCAGTTAGTTAAATCTGCACTGAATCTGGCACTCCCAGCAATCTCTCCGTCTGCTTCTTGACAATGTATCCACGATGCTTTAGGGTAAATGAAGCAATCAATGGCATTAACGATTGTTGAAAAAAAAGGCTCATCAATGTACCTATGTTGAAAAGACTGTCTCTAGTTTCAGCAGCAAATGAGTAGAGAGATAATACAATTGTGGACCCTCTGAGCTCTGGACAAGAGATTAAAATTTGCACATGTTCATGTTAGACCAAAAACGTAGAACCCCAAAATTGTCAAGTTTTTGAGTTTCCTAGATAAATTCAGCAAAATCTGAGGAGAGATTGGGACACAAGCATGAGAGAACTTTGCTCTAAATAAACTTGAATCTGAAGAGAGGAGAAAAAGATATCAGGAGGAGGTAGATTGACTTGTTACCCACATGTCTGATGATGGTGAGCTGCAGAACGACGCTGAGAAATGGTAGAATAACGGTGTCCTACTTCTGTGCCCACGGTCAGACCTGAGCAGCATTCACTGGCAGTGAGGCAGCTCCAGGTCTCCCCACTGGGGGAACACCTGGGTCTGTAAAGGTGCAGCTGGGGTCTGTGCAGGCTCTGATGGGTGCAGGACCGGCTCCCACCTCCCATTCTCAGTCATGTACATCTCAGTTCTTCCACTGCAGAGACAAGGGGAAGTATGAGTGACACCCCGACCTGCTCAACCCAGGGTCTCTGTACATAAGAGAAACCAGTGAAAATGGGAACAAGAGTTATCCTGCTAGTCTTAACAATTCATGTTGAGAAAGGCAACTCTGGGGCAGGACACAGCACAGATTAAGGAGTAGTGCATTTGCGGTTAGTGTGGAAATTAGACTTGTTTGCAATCTTTATGCCTCTTTTGCGTTTGCCTCTTTATGCCTTCTAAGAGAATCCAAAGAAACCATATTTTCCTACATAAAACCATAAACAGTGTGTCAGCCCTGAGAATGCACCTCCTTTACTTCTGACTACAGGGAACTTGATGGACCAGGCTCCCTCCAGCTGCTCTCTGAAATCCATCACCTCCCTTGTGCTGAAGACAGGCATCCTGGGGGACTCCCAGACATACTGAGCTCAGCAGTGACACCGAGGCAGATCATTGCTGGGAGACGTGGGTTCCCTGGTGTTCACCTTTGGCTCCAGGACAACCCAATGGTCTTGCTGGGCCTTCTGTGGACAGCATGGAAGTTCAGGAGTGTTCCACCTAAACTTCCCTCCTTCTCTCCTTCTACTGGCTCACACTGGCCTCTCGACTGACAGCTTTCCCAGAAGCACCTGCCCCTTGTATTTGCTCTCACAAGGATGCGTGTGTTTCTTAAAAAAAAAAAAAAAAAAATCCATGCAAACTAATACAGGCCTGGTGCCTGATGCCCCATCTGAGAACTGAGGCAACAGTTTAGCAGAGTTGTGGATAACATGAGCCTGTTTCTGTTGGAAAATATAAAGTACAAAATAATCATGACAATGGTCAGTTTCATGTGCCAACTTGGCCTAACTATAGGCTCCAGTTATTCAGTCAAACACTAATCTAGGTGTTAACCTGAAGGTACTTTGAAGATGCTAGCCGGTCACATGGTTGTTTTACTTTACGTCAGAAAGATTGTCCTAGGTCATCTGGTTGCCTGATTCAATCAGAGAACTATAGAAGAGGGAACCATAGGAAGGGCAAGTTTCAGCTCTCCCCATGTTTCCAGCCTGACCTCTCTGATGAATGACACTGTGGACATTGTAACCTGAAACCCAAAGACCATTCTTTTCAGGAAATCCCACTGAGGTCTCTGTTCTGAGGCAAAAATGCAGAGAATGACCGGTCTCCTGAGCTCTCTCAGGACTCTGATCCTGGTGACCAGAGGCAGAGTCATATGGTCCCCATAGGTGACAGTCTACATTTAAGCAGGTCATAGGTTTTTCTCACATTATAACAAAATTTCTAATTGAGAGACAGTAATAAACATGGAAAAATGAATCCAGGGTTGTTCTCCGAGAAAGAGTTATAAAAGGAAGCCCCAGATTTTGACCGGAAACCTGACCTGAACTTTCTCTGCACCTGTCCCTCACTCTTATTCTGATCATGGTGGTCCTGAGCAGCCCTTCCTGACTCCCTGCAGGGAAGTGGCTGGAGCTGTGGCTACATCATTTGATTGGCTGCTTTTCAGGATCCAGCCAATTGACGCCAAGGGGTGCAGGGTCTCCCCTTGGTGAAGAACAACCGGCCGGCCCCTCACATAGTTCTGAAACCTGTGCTGCTTCTAATTGCCCTTCATTCCTTTTCCTTTCTTAACCTCCAGTTTTCACTCCTTTGGGTGGCGGCTTGGGAGGCACTACCTCCCGGGAGAATTAAATATTGTAAGAGAATGTGACCACCTGCAGGTAACTTTCAAGCTATTTTTCAGTTAATTAATGGAGGAGCACACAGTCTCTTTTGAGACAAACAGAAAGGAATCCTGCCCAGATAAGATGTCGAATTAGGTTTGTAGCCTCCATCTGGTTAATGTTTCCTTCTTCCTCCAGTTCTTTGTCTAAATATATATGCATCATCCTTCCAAGTTTGCTGGTTAATTGGATGATCAAGAAGTATCTATATATTATTCTTGACCTGCTTTCTGTTAAAATGTTATAGAAGTTTTCTCCTAAAAGCAATAAATAATAAATAATTGCTGAGTAGAAGGGTCGAGGGGCGCAGGGAAGCCCCTTGGTGAAGAATGGCTGGCCGACACCCCTGATATTTTCTGAAATGTATTTATGCTTTCTATCAAGGTTATGACTATACTTGTTTCTGCTTTTTATTCTTGAAGATATATAGTTTAGCTTAGCTTTTCAGCCCTTTATCTTACTAACAAAATGATATTTTCTCCGGGCAGTGTTCTCAAGGGACTGTTAGCCCTGCCTCTTAAAAGACAAAGGAATGCTTTCACCCTCTAAGGGGCGCGGGAATGTAAAGATGTTTAACTACCCGCTGAGAACTCAAATAGCCCTGGGGATAAGATACCCTGGAGTTACCTATTGTTCCCATTAACCATCTACACTAATGGCATAAATGATTGGGGGAGGCAGGGGTGGCTCCCCCAGGATGTAAACAGACGGAATGCTGTCCTGTCCTGAGGTCTGGACCTTCTCTCTTTGATTTAACTTTACCATGAATTACAACAGATGTCAAGGTACCTATGTCTTTTAGCTTAGAGACAACAAACACTAGTTAATTGCGGAAAAGATGATCATTAACTTATGCTCTATAGAATAGAATGCTAATAAATATTCTTGTGCTCGTTTTTTACTTCCTATCTCTCTGAGAATATTTTTAGAGCTATTTCTGTACTAATCCTGAAAAATATAAAAACGACACTTGTGCACAGTAAAGTTGGACTTGATAACACCAACCCAAGTCTCACGTCTCCTCCCTCATTGCGCCGATGCCGTCCATCACTCAGGAACCTGGACTAAGCCGGAGCGGGACTCTGGCAGGGAAGCTTATGTCTGGACTCACACTGACTGTCATTGGGTGATGGAAACCACAGGAGCCCCTCCCATAAGCAGAATATGTACTCCTGCTCCCATCATTGAATGAAAACTAAAACCATGAGCAAGCTCCTTTCCTGGATCTATCAAAGCATTTCTGATTGCTGAAAAGCCTGACATGCTACTCCCAGAGTTTTCAATCGTATGCCTTATAGACCTTTCATATTCCCTTTCGTGAATGTGTTTGTCATCAGACTGGACATCCATATCAAGACCTGGTGGGGGTCCCTCTGCGTTTGCATGGTGACAACTGCTGTTGGTGCCATTGATGTGGATTAAGGCTGCCCCAGCCAGAGAAGCCCAAGGTGACCTGGCCTACATGCCAAACTATACAACCCAGTGGACTTTTTTTATGGTATGAATTAGGACCGCCCCAGGGAGAGAAGCCCAGGGCATCCTCACCTACATGCCGATCTATATGGCCAGATTCGTATCTAAAGTTATATGACCGCACAATAACCAGACCCCATCTGCACTGAAATCATTTAATGACTTTTTACATCATCTTTTCTTTTCTCCAGTAAAAATAAGTCACGTACCCATGCCTTATAAAATTAGCCCTAACCCTCAACTCAGGGCAGCAGCAGGAGCTCTGACCACCCGTGGGTCCTGTCCCCACGCACCAGCTCTGCCTGCTCATGGGTCCTGTCCCCATGCCAGCGGGGACAGCAGAAGCGGCAGCAGCAGGAGCTCTGCCTGCTCATGAGTCCTGTCCCCATGCTATTCCACACTATTCTCTAAATAAAAGAGCACTACTGCCAGATCTTGAGAGTCTAAGAAATCTTTCTTTCGACTCCTCGGCTCACCGACCCCGCATCACCATGAGCATGAAGCCAAGTCAATGACCACCACCAGGGTCTGTCTTCTCTGGCTTTGCTTCATAATGCTTCTGTTGTCTGAGGTCCAGCCTTCACTTTATGCTGCCCCTTGCAGGCTGGTTTGTGCACTGAGCTGCACAGTGCAGAGCTGCATTGTCGAGTCCAACAGAGCCTCTTTTATAGATTTAGCAGAAATACATCAAAAGCCTTGGTAATAAATTGGTATGTTTGCAGAAGAGTGTTTTCCTTCTATCACAACAGAATTTTCTAATGATGAAAATACGGAGCTAAGCACATAATCACAGTCCCAGGGATGCTGTCTTGAGGGAACTGTTAACATGAAAAGGAAGCCATGACAGGAAACCAGCCCTTACCCTCCATCTGCACCTGCCTCTGTGATGGTCCTTGAGAGCATGGGCCCTGCGCGTCCCCTGGTGGCCCTGAGCCCCTCCTGCAGGGAGGTTTGTGTCTGGGCTCCCAATGACTTCCCCTCACTGTGTCTTTTGCACAGTAATACACGGCCGTGTCCTCGTCTCTCAGGCTGTTCATTTGCAGACACACCGTGTTCTTGGCATTGTCTCTGGAGATGGTGAATCGGCCCTTCACGGAGTCAGCGTAGTGTGTGCCACCACCATCACTGTTAATACCTGTGACCCACTGCAGGCCCTTCCCTGGAGCCCGGCGGACCCAGCTCATAGCATAGCTGCTGAAGGTGAATCCAGAGGCTGCACAGGAGAGTCTCAGAGGCCCCCCAGGCTTCACCAGGCCTCCCCCAGACTCCACCAGCTGCACCTCAGACTCCACCAGCTGCACCTCACACTGGACACCTGCAAACACAAAGACATCCTGGTCAGGAAACTGTCCACTGATTCTCTGATTCGTGTCCTCTAACGTACTCAATGTCTCCTGTTCTTGATAAATTATCTCTTAAAAGAGCAACAGGGAAAATCCAGCTCAGCCCAAACTCCATGACGAGCCCTTTGTCTTCAGGCCTGATCTCTGAATCCTGGGCCTGAGGCTCCTCTCCAGAGCTGCAGAGTCTGGGCTGGGCTGGTTTTCATAAGCAGAGACAGGGTCCGATTTGCATATCTTCTGACTGTATAGCAAGCTCTGGGGCTGGACAACAACACAAAGAGGAGAGTCCCAGAGTGGGATGTGTCCAAATGCACTTATCTGGTGAGAAGTGGCCCCATTATCTCGTCCTCGGCTCCTCAGTACTGGACTCGACTGCCCCCCTGAACTGAATCCGGGACAGATTTGAGCAGGCCTAGTGAGATTTGGAGAATCCCCTCCCTCTAATGAGAAAATGAGCGAATTTTATGCATTCTGTTTACATAAGAATGTATAGTGAAGCAATGAGGATACATTTTCAGAAGTTCCTGAAATTTCACATTATTCTCCATCCTCCTATAACGTTTTCCAGACATTATCCAATTTATATAAGTAATAGCTTTAGTGATGAATAGCTGGGATGTAGTGAACTGCACAGTACAACAATGTGCGGGTCTCTTCTAAATCCACATGCATTTTATGGACCTGGAAGCAGGGAGCACAGTAGGAACAGCACCGCCCACTTCCCCTCTAACTGGCATTGTGCCTGGTGACCCACCTGAGGACCCTGTGTCCCTGCAAACCAGCTCACTTAGGATGCTCACGTGAGAGACTAGCAGGCAAGGAAAGAGCCACCTTCTTGGCAGGGACAATGGACCCTATCACTAGGATGGGGCTGTGATTTCACCATGAGGGAAGGAAGAATATGATTAACGCTTAGAAACCCACTAGAGTATATTTAGCATTGACCAGTTTTGACTAAATATGGACAATTGCAAACCTGAATATCTAACTGAGTTAATGATAACTAAATATATTGGCTGTGTGAACACAACTAAGGCAGAATGTAAGCGTGTGTTGTCAATCACATTGTATTTAATGAAGTGAACATATCCCATGGTCCTAGCATCAGGACAATTTAATTCACCCCTTATTCCTCCTCTTTGTCACCTACCAACTGCCTGTCCATCAGAAGTGGCAACCTTTCATTATTCCTAAATAGCTTCCACACTTATTTCAAAATAGATGTCAATTCAGCACAACCAGATAATCCGTCCTCACCCTGCCTGCAGCATCTCCACAGCACGTCATTGCCCTGTGGAAACTGAATTGCATTTCATCTTGAGATGCTGAGGAGAAAGTCCCCTGAGCGTACCTCCACCTCCTTCAGTCTCAGACCTCACCTGTGTCCCTTTCCTGAGCCTGCAGATGCTGAGCTATTTGAACAGCTGGGTGGAGTGAGGGCAAATGTTCTCTTCTTCATGGGGTGGATGAGCATGAGCGTCTGGAGCAAATATTCACCTGGAAAACAACCCATAAGCTGCAGATCGTGAGAGTGCATTCCACATAAATGTTGATAGTGGCGGCCTCACCCTTGATTTTGTCCCAGCTTCCTGATCTTCATGAAGAGAAAAAGGACTGAAGTGTTGAGTCAATTCTTTACTAACACTGGAACTAGCGATCCTGAGAAGCCTTGAGAGAGGTGGTGGAGAGGCTGTGGGCTTTCAACATCCACGATGGTTCTCTACATAGATATCGAGGGAAAACGTTACAGAAGATAAAATAATAGAATAATTACTAAAATAAATTAAATTCAGGGTAATCAGATCAGTAAGAATGCTCTTATTTAAGGTTAATTTGCTCATCTATTAAATGGAGATCAGTGTACACCTAAATTCATAGAATTATTATCATGATTATATAGGTTAAAATTATCATAGTTCCTGGTCCTTGGCAAGTTTTATTATTATGAGAGTTTATTCTAAAAAGGGAAGTCGCCTCTGTATTTCCACATCTTTTAGGAAACTGCACTGTTTGCATGTCAGGAAGAGGTTACAGAGCCTGGAGAAATAACCCCTTGAGAGGAGCCCAGCCCTTAACTGACCTCCTCTGTGAGAACATGAGCTCAGTCATTTCTGAGTGCCCCCTGGTAGTCCTGAGTGCACCTTTGGATTCCAAGCCCCCTGGAGAAAAATAGACACTCTTTTTCCCTTCCCCTTTATCCAACAAACAATGTTGGGTTCCAGCATAAGCACTATTATATGCTTTCCTGTTCACAGGGTGTCTCCTCTTAGTTATTTTCCATCACCTGACCTCCTCATTCTGCTCCTTGGCTGTAAATCTCCAGCTGACTCTGTTGTATTCAGAGGTGAGACCTGTCTCTCTCTCCTACTACAAAACCCCTACTGCGGAAGTCCTGAGTAAAGTCTTTCTCACCATTTTAGCGAGTGTCAGAGTCAATTTTTCTTGATAAATAGAAAGAAAACAAAACGAAGGTAGATCTCTGGACAATCAAAATTTACTGTCAGGAAACAGGCTGATAGAAGTTCTCAGATTCAGACATCTGCTACCGTCCGAGAAAATGTCAGGGAAGATCCAAGGTTAGAACAACAGGCCCAGGGGTTGAGGTCTGAGGCACAGATGGTTATCCCCAGGCCTTGAAACTTAGTGGTGTTTGCCTGGGGGATTTCATAACTGATTCATGCTGGTGATTCCTTTCTAACTCCCATTTTAACTCTTTTGGAATGGAAATGTCTGTCAGTGTTATCACATGCCTGCCCTGAAAATGTGCATTAGAAGAGGGAAACTTATTTCCTAGTATCACAGGTCTGAAGAGGGAGAGGATTGTTCCCCGTGTGGATCTCGGGCAAATTCTCCCCCATACCTGATTTAGATGATTAGTTAGGACTTGTGAGATGATGGTGTTTAGGTGGAATTTGGACCTGCCTCATTGCTTTAAATGGTTGGCATTTGGGGAGACTTTGGAATGTACTAAATGTGATTGGACTGTTGCAAGGATATGATAATCTGAGCCTGAGAGTGGACTGTGGCAATCTGGACAATCTTCGAATCTGTAGATGTTATTTTATGTGGTAAAGAAACTTTCTCCCGTTTGATTGATTTAGGAATCCTGAGTTCTAAATATTTACCTTGATTTTCTGGGTGACTCCTAATACAATCAAAAGTGTTTAGATCAGAGGCAGTCAGAGAGAGATTAGACTACTGAATAAGAAGAAAACTTCATGCTCACTGATGTAATGAAATTTACTCCTGGATGTGAAGTTGGAAGAAGGGACTATGAGCCAGGGGATGCATGGAATGCTGCTCTACGGGCTGCAATAAGCAAAAAAACTCAGACTTTCCCTGTGTAATTCTATTTGGGCACCTTTAACAAAATATCACAAACTTGATAGCTTATAAATAATAAACATTTATTTCTCACCTTTCTGGAGGCTGTGAAGTCCACAATATTTACCAGGCTGGATGGCTTCTGGGGAAGATCTTCTTCCTTGTTCATAGTTGGCACCTTCTTGCTGTATCTTCACAGGGTGGAAAGGGAAAGCAATCTTTTTGGGACCTCATTTGGAAACTCACCAGTCCCATTCAAGAGGGCTCCACTCCCATCACCTAAGAATTTCACAAAGAAGCCACCTACTAACACCATCATCTTTGGTGGTTAGGATTTAACATATGAATTTTGGGGCACACACATTTCCAGACAATTGCACTCTCCTAGAGCCTTTGGAGGGAGTATAACCCTTCTGACACCTTCATTTCAGGCCAGTGAAACTGTTTTCCGGTTCTGACCTCCAGACTGTAAGGGAATAAATGTGTTGATTTGAGCCCTAGTTGTATGGGAAGTTGATACAGTGATTGTAGGAACGTTATAGAGAATGGGATATGAGTCTCAAATTCTTGTCACACAAAATTGCTGCTCTCTGCCCAATGCACATAAACGAGCCAATTAATTATGGTGCCAGCCTTTGAGGGGAGAAATCAGCTTTTTGTTCTGTGAGATCGATCTTCAGGGAGACAAGGGTTTGAGCCCTCACATGTGTCTCCTCAATTCATGATTTGGGACAACGTTTAAGCAGTTAGGCCAAAGAGGGTGGTACACAGAAACACTGGTGGGACTCCAGGTATTTATGGTAAGTTTCTAAACATTTATGAGAGGGTTCTAAACATTTATCATAGGGTTCTAAACATTTAGCATGAGCTGGAGAAATGCTTTGAACACCAGACCTTCCTGAATGAGTTGCCCCTGCATCTGACAAGAGTCTGGATTTCAAGTCCTGGCCGGGTCCCAGCCCTTGTTTTCCAGAGAAGGAGGATCTTTGGTTCTGAGGTCATTTAAAGTCACAATTTCTTCTTTGGCGCATGCCCTTGCATCGTGACTTTGCAGTTTATCTGAAAGACAATCCTTAATCGTTTTGTTGATATGAGATGGAGGTCTGTTTGCACTGGCTCTAGATGGGCCCATGGTTAGAACATCATCCAGATTCTCCACTTGCTGCCCCTGGTGTGTGATGAGCATCAGCATGGCCCAGGGACAGGGCCCTCTCAGCGCTGTGCTCTGTGTGGACGCACCTATTCAGGGACTCACCATGGAAGGAAGGGACTGAAGAATGATGCGCTGATCTAGACCGTGATAGAACCTGGAAAATCTGTCCATCCATCACGTTGTTACAAGGCTTCATGGTGTCCTACCAGAATGTCATGTGTGAATCTCCACCAGAGACTGGGAAAGGGAAATCCATTCTTGATCTTCATTGGCCTACTTTCCCCAAGCTCAATGCCAGCTTTTAAAAATAGGGTGAAAGTAGGAGAACTTCTAGGGAGAGCTCTACAGTCCAAGAATCCCAAATCTGACACCAAAGAAATATTCCCAAGATGCCTCAACTCGCATTCCTTCATTAAAAGAACAATGAGGTGCTAAGTAGACTCTCCATGAAAATAATGATAAATATCAAGAGTCCTTGTAGGCAAAATCTTTCCCGCCACTGCATGTGAAACTTGAAAAATTTCCCCAAAAGACTAGTGTGCCCATAAGAGCCTTTACTTTTGTCTCAGATTCCTGTCTTTTGATGTGAGGAGTCAGGAGAATCATCATCCTTGCATCTCCTCAGCCCAACACAGCTGCCGTCTCCATCAGGTCCTGAC